TGTAACAAGCATATTAGAAGGAGGCTTGTTTAGTTTATTCCAAACAATGGTGGTCATGAGATCAATTTCAATAGATCTGGCCGAAGACCAGCTAGAAGAATCCTATGATAATATACAAACGTGAATGTAAGGACACATATAAAAATTTGGGTTTGTGTTACAGTGTGTATAATGACTTGTATAGCAACATCATATCCAAGATAGCTATTAAAATATCCTTACCTTGCTTCGTTCCAAGAGTCGCCTTTAGGACATTTGTGCTCCACCATAACCTTATTGACCTCCAAATGTAATGTCCTGTTGAAGCTAAAGACCAGCTCCTTTGTTCTTGGAACCCTAAAAGTAAAGATTATAATTTTGAAAATAGGTTTGGAAAGTTATGTGCAAACAGTAATAGATACTTTAGACCAAAGACTAGAGGAATATATCCATTGCCTTATCTGGAAGTTTTAAGCAAAAAAAAATCTTTCTGTTAATTATATAACATTAAAGCTATCTAAAAGTTACCTGGTAATGAAAATCTTGAAAACTACCCCTTTAATTATGTATATCAAATGTGAATAACATCATTTGGCCAATATCTTTGCTCACGGACAATCAATTTTCAGACTAAATGACTTTTTGAATTAAATCTTTTTACTGTGGTATCTGTCATAAGCCAGGCAAGTCATGCCTATTGTAACACCCCTCTGCCAATGGAATTATCAAATATGCACTCATTTCAGAGAGAAAGATCCCATGGTAGTTTTTGCTTTTTCATTCCACAGCAGGGAGCTTGTTTTTGAAATGGATTTTAAGAGATCAATCAGATGACTGGAACACCAAAATCATCGTAAGTTAAGTTTTCAAGATTAATGCCCCAGTACACTTTCAAGGGATACAGAAAATGAACAAGAATTTTTCAGGGTGGGTTTCACAAAATTTCACAGAACAGGAATTGTGATTTAAATTGAAATTATGTAGGTAGGTACTGACCGTGCTACGTTGATCATCTAACTGTAAGTGGTGTATGTCANACCCAATAGTAAAGACCGCTATCGAGTTCCCGCCGACGG